CATCGGAAACTGCGCGCGCCGCGCTATTCCCTCCCTGCCGAAGCCAGACCAACTCTACAAGAATATCGTAGCCCGTTGTCACGAATTCTACGAATGCACTAAAAGGATCTCGTTCCTAAATTCGCGTGTCCGGAACCTCCATACATCTAAAGCCGACTGGAAAGAGCGTTTCCATGAATTGGAATTGCTGGAAATTAGGTGCGACAGAACGCGCCTAGAATTCCTATTTGTCTGATGCCATGATCCGTACGTTATTCAGCGTACCGCCGTTGCTCATCGCTAAAGGTGCAATCTCTGGAGCGATTTGGGATACCTGGATGCGAAAAGAACAGCTGAACGACGAAGGCGATCCCCTTCTCATGGACCCCGAAATCATCGAAACAGCTGTAGCGGACCAACTTCACACCGACTTACTCTCAGTGACCTTCGTACTGCCCTTCAAAACGACGATATAGTGAACGCAACAACTTTCCAAGAATCTGTGACCGAGAAACTCCGTCAGATTCAATCCACGTTGGACGAGGTCATTCAACAGAGAAACAACGTCGAAATGATTGATCCACAAGAACCTCCGCCGGTGGGGGAGGGCGTTCCCTTGGAAGCGCAAGAACAAGAAAGCATACGCGAAAATGCCGAGTTCATGGAAGAAATTATGATTTAGAAGCAGAAGGTGAAGATGCGCAACTAAGACACCCTCCAGAGCCTGAAAATCAGGAACAAGAAGACGAGCAGCTAAGAAATCCTCCAGAACCTGAAATTCAGGAGCGAGAAGATGCGCGACCGGAGAACCCACCAGAGCTCGAAAATCAGGAACGAGAAGATGATCTGCCGAGAAATGCTCAATAGCCGGAAAATCCAGCACTTGCGATGAGACGACGTGAAGTCGAAGGGGAAGTACTTCAGTTACGACTGGCCGAATCAAACTTTCAAAGGAGCATTCAGGCTTTACTGGAGAAGCCAACCTGCCCACCGAGGAGATTCGAGCGGGGAGAAATTCGTTTCAGGATACAT